GTTCGGTTCCCCCGCTCCCCCCCCCTCCCAAAATAAAAATAAAAAACACCGAAAAGACGAAACCCGACCCAAACGCATTTCACGTGCACGAGCGTGTTTCCGACATCGCGGTGCCGCGGCACACGTTTCAAGGCTAATGAACTCCCCGGCGGTCGCAGTGCATGTGCATACAACTGTTATGTTATTACGTTGTGTTCGGGTTGTATACCTGTGCGACGTTATTGTGCGCACGCCGGCGGGTCGCGGACCCGAAAGTGTACGGGCGGCTAGTGGGCAGGCGGCAACACAACACCGTACCGCGGTACTCGAGGGCGGCGATAAAAAAATTAAAAAAAAAAAAACAAAACGGATTTCGAGAAGAAGAGTGCGGAGAACGGAAAATACGCCGAGATAACGCGGCCATAGTAGCGGGGCTCCGATAACGATAACGACGACGGGTGTCTCTCGAGTGCGGGCGCGCGGCCGAACGAAAATGCCCGCGGTTGCTGCGGCGGTCCCCGGACGTGTTTCCGCTCTTCCGCGTACGGCCCGGGGGCCGTACGCGCGGGTCCGCGAGTCCGGGCCGCGTGCGTCTGGCCCCGTGCGCGCGCGGGGTCCGCGACGGCGGGAAAACCCGACCGGGCCGAGTGTGCCGCGTAAAAATTACGAAAAAAAAAATAAAATAAAATAAAATATCGCCCGCGATAACGTCGACGGCGGTTGTTATTATTGTACTTTTTTTTTTTTATCGCTGACCGTCACCATCCCGGCGAGCACCACGCCGCCGCATAGACTTGGCAACGCTGTCCGCGCGCGATTTTATTTTTTTATGTACTTACGCTCCTCGCGATACGTTCGGCCGTCGCGCGCACGCACACGCACACGCACGCACACGCACACACGTCATTATCCTGCGGGTGCTTTATTTTTATTATTATTATTTTTTACATACGTGCATGCATACACCTTACGCATCAAACACGTTCGGTAAAACGTCGATATTGATTTTTTTTTTTTTTAGTGCACGCGCGCTTAGTCGCTAGTCGGTTGATACGCGCGCGGTACCGCCGGCGGAAGAAGGACGGGTACCGTGTACGCGGGCGGCGATATCGTTGCAAAAAGAAAAAAAAAATAAATAAATAATAATAAAAACTTAATCGGCCGGCGCGTATTGTATTCGCTTTTTTATTATTATTATTATTATTACGCGACGGACATCACGGTCAGTGGGAAACGACGGCGGCGCGTCGTTGTTCGCGACGCGCGCGTACGGTTTTTTTTCGCGGCGACCGCGGTGTAAAAATCGACGATAAAAAAAAAAAAAAATGAAAAAATTAACGTCGGCTGTGTTATTACTGCCGCCGCGTTGCAATGTTACAGTCGCGCAGTACGGTACGGTCATTGTGGTGTTTTTTTTTTTTATTTTTTACCCTACGAGCATTATTATTACGCGTTTCGCGAATCCGGCCGAATTCGTCGACGGTCGCCAGACGATGTAGGTCGACCGACGACGACGGGGGTAAAAAAGTAACAATATTAGAGGAAAAAAAGAAAAGAACCAAAACAACAACGATAAAATCTTGTGTCGTTTCGGCGTGAAAAAAATTTCGTCAGTTTTACCGGTCGGCGACTTGGCGGCGACCGGGTAGCCGGAGAACGTCGGGGTTTGTTTTTTTTTTTCCACCTTTTCCCCCCGGCCTTTTTTTTTTAATACGGGCCCGAAACAGCGTGATGCGAACACCATTATATTATTATAGCGGCGCGCGTATTACACCGCTGCCGCACCATTATTGTTATTAGGTATTTGTATTTCGCGGACGGGCGGAGCGATGAGGGGAGTTGTGTGTGTGTGTGTGTGTGTGGTGGGGGGGGTGGTGGTTACAATGAGTCTCCGGACCGGCACCCGGAATAAACACGACGACTACCTAGCCGTCCCGTTTTTATAACAATATAATAATACGCACGTGCAGCAGTCCCGGAATAGAAAGTCAAAGGCGGATCGCGGAAAAAAAAAAAAATAATAATAAAAAAACAACACATTACTGCACACCTATACACCTACCGGCTATAACTATTATTGTTATAGGTACGCACGGACATTTCGTTCCGGTAACCCGTGTTCGGGATTTTTGTCGCGCGGGACTTCCGGAGACGGACCGGACTACCTGCGGAAAAGTAACTGCACGACGGCGCGTAGTACGAGTCTCGTAATAGAAAAGAAAAACAACCCGCCCGATCTATAGAAACAGAACCGTATGCGGTTCGACAATAATGTACGGTGCCCCATCGTTCACGTCCGGGGGATAAACGGGACGGCAAATAACGATAATGACAATGCACCGGAGTCTATTATATTTACACGACGATATTATCCGAGATTGTTGTACGGTTTTCGTGACGGGGGATCGCGTCGGTTTTCTCGGACCGGACCGGGGAAAATTTCGGGCCGTTCGACCGACGAAATTAAAAAAGGAGAGAAAAAAAAAAAACAATAATAATAATAAAAAGCAAACATAATTGATTATCCGACGCGTTCTGGTCGCACATTAGTAACCGTGCCATGATCTCCGGATTATATTCCGGCGAGCACGCACACACACACACACATATACGAGTTCGGTTTATATTATGCATATGTGTGCGCGTGTATATTTTTTTTTCTCTCTCGTGTTTCCGTACGCACGCACACGCGCGCGCGCACGCACGCACACACGACTCAATAGCCGGCTGGCTATTCGGCCGCGGCGACGAAAGTAACGTAACGTTACGCAGTAGAAAGTGGTGTACCGCGGCAAGGGCCGCGATAATCGTTTACGAGTGCAAAGAAAAAAAAAAAAAAAAAAAAATAAATAAATAAAAATAACCGCGGCGTCCGTACCGCGCCGGGACCGCGGCCGCGGCTTTTCCGGCGCGGCAGGGCACGGCGACGCGAGGGACGACGCACCGCGCTGGCGGCCGTGTTATTTACCTTGTACATGGTCTGATCGTCGGCGGCGGCCGCGGCGGCCGCGGCCTGCGGCCCGTTCTGCACGCTGGCCGGCGAGAACCCGTAACAGTTCTTGTTGAGCTCGTGCAGGTTCGGATAATCGGTCCCCAGACAGTTATCCATGGGGAAATCGAACTTCATGCCGACGGCGTACGGGGGTTACTGGTCTGGACGCCGCTCGCGATCACCGCGTTCGCACGCTGTTCGAACACTGGCCGTGCGCGACTATCGGTAACGTGACGCGCGCCGTCCGCGTTCGCATACGAAACGGGAAAACAAAATAAACAAAACGAAACACTGCTGTCGTCCGATATTATTTCCGGAGGAGGGGGGGTTGGGGGGTGGGGTGTCGCTGTCGATTCGGTCGGCGCGTGTGTCGTATTACTGTTGCGATCCGCGGGGATCCGTGCGCGGTAAGTTTTCGCGGGAGGTTTTTTTTTTCCGCGAAAACCCGTCGAACGGGCGGGAAAACCGAAACAACACGCGCCGTTCGAACGGTTATTGTCGCCGAGTAGTGCCGGCCCGGTCCGGGTTGTGATTGCGGTTGTCGGCGCGGGACACACGACGCGAACGGTGTTCAGTCGCCGAGTAGCACAAACACGCGCGCGGAATAACGAGAGTATTTATCGACGATAAGAATGAAAAAAAAAAAAAAAA